CATGCTGTTAAAGATATGCAATCATTAAATGAGGCTCAATTATTAATACATAAATTATCAAGACCAGTAGCTGAAATTGTTACACTTATTCAAGAAAATATTTTATTAGCTAAACAATATAAAGAAAAACTTTTAAATAATTCAACAAATCAAGTTTCAAATAAAATTCCACAGAAAACTGGAAAATTTGTTCCACTTCGAGAAAGACTTACTGTTTGTGTTAATGAAAAATGTACAGAAATTATTAATGTTAATGGTGAACAACGAATTGATTATAAAAGTAATTGTCATGTTGGTTGTTCATTGCATAGAGTTGTACAAGAATGTATTGGTCATCCAATTATTAAACGATGTCAAGCACTTAAACAAACAGGTTCGTTAATTATTCATCGGAATATTATTAATTAATTCTTTCGAAGATAATTTTCTTTTCGTATTTTTTTATTATAGGTTCATGTCGAAAATGTGGTTGTCATTGGACAAAACATATGCATATAACATATAAATATGAAAGAAATTTAACATATATTGAAATAGATAACTCTAATTTATTACGAACACCTCAATCAATTATGACTATTATTGATGAAAGAATATCAGATTTAAGAAATGAAGAAACATCTATAAGAAAAATTTGTGTTCAACTTTCACTATTTTTAAAACAAAATTCAATAACACCATTTAATGATGATATTATTGAATATCTTCAACATTTTATTAATGAAGAAAAACAAAAAAGATCAACTGGAACTGATAATATAGATGTTATTAAAGGTCTAGAACAAATGATTAAAGATTATACAGAAGAATTTAATTTGTATACTTCAAGTGTTTCTTCACAAAATAATTCAACATCAACAGATCGATTTGATAATAGTTCACAAATCGACGAAATGTTTAGTTTAGTACAAAAGCTTTATGATTTACCAATAAATGGAAAATTAATTGAAGAACAAGTTAGACGAATGAAAGAAGGTCGCGCACAAGCAGCTAGAAGTAATGAACAATTTGTTGATTTACCATCAGGTTATAATTCTCCAGATATTCTTAATAATTTAAAAGAAATTGTTAACCGTAGAAAAAGATAAAAGTTTTGTTTTTTTATTTTATATCTATTAAAAACAATCTTTTTTTTTCTTCTATAGACCTATTTTTTATGAAAAATTTAATAATAAAATGAAAGAATAAAAATAAATAAGCCATATTATTTTTCTTTTTACATTTTTTTTCAAACTACAAAGATAACTCTTTTTTATCTCACTTCTTCTCTTTTTTTTATTGTGTTCCCAGTCAACTACTTCAGCGAGATATCTCTTAGAAGATGCGTCATAAAACTTACTGTTTTCAAATTTGTAT